CCCCCGGGCGCCCGCGGCGCTGCGCCTCAGGCCGCCGGTCCGTCACCCCGGTTGCCTCCGGCGGCCCGGCGGCCCATTCATTTTCCCGGGTCCGACTCGGGTCCTCCCCCGCGAGCGTGCTGTCGGGTCGCCTCCCTGCGTTTCACGGTCCGCCGGGTTCCTCAGCCTCCGGTCCCTGGCTTCGGCCGGGCTCCCCGCTCTCGGTCTGCACATTCCCCTGCGCACTTGGGTGCGTGGGCTCCTCGCACACCCGGGTTCCGCCCGCCCGCGCCTCCGGTGGGCTCGATTTCCCTCGGGGGCAGCGTTCGCGTCAAGGCTCCGTACCCGGCGCGACCCCCGGTGTCTGCGCCCGAGTCTCCGGATCCCTTCCATTTCTCCGGCGCGGTCTTCCCGGAACCCTTCTCCCGCCCGCGCTCCCATGCCCCAGCCTCTCTGCAAGACGGAGTTGTATGGACTTCCTCCAACTCTCGACACGGCAGGCCCAGGACCGGGTCCCCCTCAGTATCCCTTTCTAGCTCCCCGCTGGAGGTCTGTGCGCCCGCCCAGCCCCACCCGTGCACGTCCCGGATGCTACCTTGTGGGATGCCCGTGGCTGAGCTTGCTCTGGGTTCCCCTGGGGATCCGCTTCTCACTCTCTTCAGATTTAACTCTGAAAACTTCAACTCGTTGTGCCTCGCAGACTGTTCGTTGTCTTCATTTTCCATGTTTAATTTTGCAGTCGCAACATCGGGGGCAAAGGCGTATGGGTCTGGGATCCAGGAGTTCTGGCTTTGATGACAGTTTCCCCTGATTGTATTGAAAGATTTTAAGTTGATCCCTTTCCATCTCTGTTTCACCATCGGAAGACACGTTTTTTTAAAAAATAAGAATTCTATTTTTAGGGAGACGAGGGGTATACAGTTTGTAAGCGTTTTCATAAATGAATGTAGGAATTGCTGTCCCCTCTGTAGCTAGTGAAGGGGTCTCATGTCCGAGTCCAGCGAACTAAGTCCAGTAATCTTATACAACTTTGCCGTGCTGCCTCTAATCCTTTACCCACTTTTTTTCTTCACATGCTGATAATGAGGATTCATGGGTCTGTATCTGCTTAGTGCTTTGATATTTTGGCAAAAGGTGTGGGGAGAAGGTAGACTAGAGTTGAAGCTGATACGATTTTTCCTGTGTACTTTTGCAGCTATATCTGTGTGACATTAGCTAGTCCTAAGTAAAACCAAGGAGTTGGGAGGGGAAATGATGTGATCCCAGGATACTAGGAATGAAATGAGAAATATCCTCAACTTTATTGCCAAGGCCAAGCAGTTTGATTTTATTTACCTTGCTTGTTTGTTTGTTTTGAATGTAATCCCTAAGATCATTCCATTCACCTTAATGAAACTGTTGACAGCCCTTAGCAGAAATTCTGGTTTGATGTTTACATTCCTAAACAAAATCGTGTTTTGGTGACCTGATATTTCCAGCGGCCCAGTGCCTCGAAAGTAGAGAAGATAGCATGTAGGTTTAACGAGGGAGAGGAAAAAAGAATAAGTAAAAAAACTTATTGTCATTTAGTGCTGCTTTGGCGGAACATTTCTTGCTTCTCATCTCTTCTTTGCTTGGTTCTTAGCAATATTTTCATATGTGTCTTTTTGCAAATTTTAGTGGAGTTCCCAGAGGGTAAATTCTGACACTTTAGTAGACTAAAAAGTGAATCTTACTTTCTTGAAGATTTTCATTGTTGTATATTTGGTATACTTCATACCTGGGAGTCATTTGTTAACATGATACATTCAGTTTGAAGCCTTCTTTGCAATGGGGAAACTGAGGTATTAGGAGGGAAAGTGACATGCCTGAGATATTATTAGTATCCTGAGCCGAAACCAGGCAGCTGTTTGGGCTTCATGGGCTGTGGGTTAACTCTTTTGCTCCCTAGATTTATGACCTTCCCTGACCCACTTAACACATCTGTATCTTAAGGTTCTCCTCCATAAAATGAGGATAGCGAGTACTCATGTTGAGTGACACTGCGTTCATTACAGATTTTTTGGTTTGAAGGAAAAGCATATGCTAGTGTAAAGACTCGATACTTACTAGGGCAACTCCTTTTTTTTTTTTTTTTTTTTTTTGAGTTGGAGTCTCACTCCTTCACCCCTTCACCCAGCTGGAGTGCAGTGGCATGCATGTGCACGGCTACCCCAGCGTCGACCTGCTGGGCTCCGGTCATCCTTCCGCCTCAGCCTTCCGAGTAGCCAGAACCACAGACGCATGCTACCACGACTGGCTATTTAAAAAATTTTATTGTAGAGATGAGGTTTTGCCAAGTTGCCCGGGCTAGTCTCGAACCCGCAGGCTCAGGCAATCCACTCACCTCGGCCTCCCAAAGTGCTGGGATTACAGGCTGAACCACTGAGCCCGACGGCGGGCAACTTCTTTAAACCTCAGAAAACCTCATATCCACACTTAAAACGAGGATAATGGTTTTCACCTTGTAGCAATGTAAGAGACAGTAAAGGTGCAGTGCTTAGTCCAGTGACAGGAGGCAAATTGCGTTCTCTACAATGGTGACCATTGTTAAGATGATAATGATGCAATGGAGACAATGGGTTAACTGCAGATTTTAAGTGGGAAGGTTTTAAACTGTTAAAAAGTGCTATGGGAATGTAAGATAGCTTTTAGCATTGTAAGGTGCTGACTTACATTCTGCTAATGTAATTTAATGACAGCCATTATGAAGGAATACGTAAGAATTGTTTCTTGTGAGACACTGCGTAGCTTAAAAATATGGTGGTTGAGGAAGATATGTTTGCAGGAATGTACTGAAGATTTGGGAATTCTAAGATCAGAGAAATCACAGCTTATGGAGGAAGAGGAAGATTATTAGATAGCTTGTGGACTCATTGTGGTCTTGAATAATAACATGAACTAACAATATGGGATCAAGGTATACATTTTAATCCTTTACTGCTTCCATCTAGGTCTTGAGTCAGAGCACCAGCCTTGGGAACCCTGGACCACTATCATGGAGACTGAGAGTGAGCAGAACTCCAACTCCACCAATGGGAGTTCCAGCTCAGGGGGCAGCTCTCGACCCCAGATAGCTCAAATGTCACTGTATGAACGACAAGCAGTGCAGGTGAGGCTCAACCCCTAGGGGCCATGCTCTGTGAGTACTTGCTTGAGATAGGCAGTGATGCTGGAAGACAACTGTCCTTAGTTCCTTTCCTGTAAACTGGGGAGAGTTGGATTAGGTGATGATTAAGGTCTTTTCCAGCTCTGAGAATCACAGTTTACAAAGCTTTGGGCAAGCAAGCAATAAAATTCAGTCTTTCAGCTGTGGATTTTTAAACTAACATTCAGGCCATCTAGCTGGATTCTTTTTTTTTTTTTTTGAGTTGGAGTCTCACTCTGTACTCTGTCACCCAGTTTGATGTGAGTGGCACAATCAGGGCCACTGCAGCCTCGACCTGCTGGGCTCAGGCGATCCTGCCGCCTCCGCCTTCCGAGTACCTGGAAGTAGGTGTGTGCCACCATGCCTGACTATTTATTCATTTATTTATTGTAGAGACGAGGTTTTACCAGGTTGCCCAGGCTGGTCTTGAACCCCTGGGCTCAGACAGTCCTCTCACCTCGGCCTCCCAAGGTGCTGGGGTTATAGGCTTGAGCCACCGTGCCCAGCCCAGCCTCATCTAACTGGATTCTTTTTTTTTTTTTTTTTTTTTTGAGTTGGAGTCTCACTCTATCACCCAGACTGGAGTGAAGTGGCCGCTCCCGGCCACCGCAGCCTCAACCTGCTGGGCTCCGGCAATCCTTCCGCCTCAGCCTTCCCAGTAGCCGGAATTACAGGCATGCGCTACCACGCCTGGCTGATTTTTTGATTTATTGTAGAGATGAGGTTTCGCCAAGTTGCCCAAGAACGTCTTGAACCCGCGGGCTAACGCAGTCACTCACCTCAGCTTCCCAAAGGTGCGGGATTACAGACTGAGCTACCGAGCCCGGCTGTAGCTGGATTCTAACTAGCCATTTTTCTTCATGAACTGTCAGGTTTTATTTTTATTATTTATTTATTTATTTATTTTTGAGTTGGAGTCTCACTCTGTCGCCCAGACCTGCTGGGCTCCAACAATCCTTCCACCTCAGCCTTCCAAGTAGCTGGAACTACAGGTGCGCGCTACCACACCCGGCTAATTTTTTGATCTATTGTAGAGATGAGGTCTCACCAAGTTGCCCAGGCGGGTCTCAAACCCGCGGGCTCAGGCAGTTCACTCACCTCAGCCTCCCAAGGCGCACGGGATTATAGGCTGAGCCACCGAGCCCGGCTGAACTGTCAGGTTTCAATCTTTGACCTTTCTTGCAAGTTGCCTTGAGTAATGGAAGTATTATGGACCTCTTAGAGATTTATTTATTTATTTATTTTTTGAGTTGGAGTCTCACTCTGTCGCTCAGACTGGAGTGCAGTGGCTGCTCCTGGCCACTGCAGCCTCGACCTGCTGGGCTCCGGCGATCCTTCTGCCTCAGCCTTCCGAGTAGCCGGAACTACAGGTGTGCGCTACCATGCCCGGCTAATTTTTTTTGATTTATTGTAGAGATGAGGTCTTGCCAAGTTGCCCAGGCGGGTCTCGAACCTGCGGGCTCAGGCAATCCACTCACCTCGGCCTCCCAAAGCGCTGGGATTATAGGCTGAGCTACCGAGCCCAGCCAGAGATTTATTTTTAAACAAATAGCAAATCCCATGTTTTAAAAAAATTCTGTTTGGGGCTGGGCACGGTGGCTCATGCCTGTAGTTAGTCCCAGTGCTTTGGGGGGCTGAGGTGAGAGGATTGCCTGAGTCCGCGTTCAAGATCAGCTTGGGCAACTTGGTGAGACCTCATCTCTTAAAAAAAAAAAAAAAGAAAAAGATTTACTTTTAAACAAATAACAGATCCCGTGTTTTTAAAAAATTGTGTTTGGAACTGGGCATGGTGTCTCATGGCTGTAATCCCAGCACTTTGGGAGGCTGAGGTGAGAGGATTGTCTGAGCCCAGGGATTCGAGACTGGCAAGGGCAACTTGTCGAGACCTCGTCTCTGTGATAAATAAAAAACATTAGCTGGGTGTAGTGGTATGTGCCTGTGGTTCCAGCTACTTGGAAGGCTGAGGCAGGATTGCCTGAGCCCAGAGGATGAGGCCGCAGTGGTAGTAAGCATGCACTACACGCTTGCCTAGGCGTCAGAGCTGAGACTCCAACTAAAAAAAAAAAGAACAACAAAAAAACCGTAAAATTCCATTCTTCAGTTCACACTAAAACTGAATGACCAGTGTCATTCTTTTTTTTTTTTTTTTTTTTTTGAGTTGGAGTCTCCCTGGATCGCCCAGACTGGAGTGCAGTGGCCGCTCCCGGCCACCGCAGCCTCGACCTGCTGGGCTCCGGCGATCCTTCTGCCTCAGCCTTCCAAGTAGCTGGAACGACAAGCGTGTGCTACCGTGCCCGGCTAATTTTTTGATTTATTGTAGAGATGAAGTCTCGCCAAATTGCCCAGGCGGGTCTCGAACCCGTGGCCTCAGGCTATCCACTCACCTCAGCCTCCCAAAGCATGGGATTACAGGCTGAGCCACCGAACCCAGTTGACCAGTATCATTCTTATAAATATCTGTTAGCATTAAACTGTAGATATTTGAAGATGCTAATTAGTTAAAAATTTTGCTTGAGAGAATGTTTTAGAAGCCACTATTTTCCATTATTTCCAACCCTTTAGGGCTCTATTATTTTTACTATTTACTGAGAATATAGTCTGATTTTCTCTGGCATCTGTTTATTTTTGTTTTTGAGTTGGAGTCTCTCACTCTGTTGCCTAGACTGGAGTGCAGTGGCACACTCCTGGCTACCACAGCCTTGACCTGCTGGGCTCTGGCGATCCTTCTGCCTCAGCCTTCCAAGTAGCTGGACCTACAGGCGCACACTACCACACATGGTTAATTTTTGATTTATTGTAGAGATGAGGTCTCGCCAAGTTGCCATGGGTCTTGACCCCATGGGCTCAGGCAATCTACTCTCCTCGGCCTCCCAAAGTGCTGGGATTATAGGCTGATCCACTGAGCCCGGCCATCTATTTATTTTTAACTTCTCTAGTATTCCTATATCGCATATTTCCAGGTTAAATTTTGGAAGATAAGAGTTCATGTGAATTGCACTGCTTTTCTTTATATATGAGAATGGCCCATAGAATTATAATCATGAATCACTTAACAAGGGTACATTACTTTTTTTGTTTTTTGAGTCAGAGCCTCACTCTGTTGGCCAACCTGGAGTGCAGTGGCACGATCACTGCTCATTGCAGCTTTGGCTTTCTGGGCTCAGGTGATCCTTCTGTCTCAGCCTACTCAGTAACTGGAACTTTAGGTACATGCCATCATGCCTGGCTAATTTTTAAATTTTTATTTTGTCGAGATGAGGTCTTGCTATGTTGCCCAGGCTAGTCTTGAACAACTGGGCTCAAGCAATTATCTCACCTCAGCCTCCCAAAGTGTTGGGATTATAGATGTGAGCCACCACACCTAGTCAACAGGTATACATTCTGATAAATGTGCACTTAGGTGATTTTGTCGTCATGCAAATATAGAGTATACTTATAAAACTAGATGGTGTAGCCTATTGCTCTGACCACTGTTGTATATGACCAAATCATCGTGACATGGCATTGTGACATGGCACATGACTATAATTGTTTCTTCCAGTTTTTTTTTTTTTTTTTTTTGAGTTGGAGTCTCACTCTGTTGCTCAGGCTGGAGTGCAGCCACTGCAACCTCTACCTGCTGGGCTTCCAAGTAGCTGGAACTACACGTGTGCGCCACCATGCCTGGCTAATTTTTTGATTTATTATAGAGGTGAGGTCTCACCAAATTGCCCAGGCTGGTCTCAAACTTGTGGGCTCAGGCAGTCTTCTCACCTCAGCCTCCCAAAGTGCTGGGATTACAGGCTTGGGCCACTGTGCTTGGCGGTTTCTTCCAGTTTTTAAAGGATTATGTAGATTTACCGGTTAATGTAAAAATGGACAAATCGGGTGTCTCCCATCTCCTTTGTTTCTCCTTCTTGTGGCTCCTTTTGCTCAAATGCAGTCTTTGTGTAGAATAGGAGTTAGGAGTGATCCGTTCTAAATGTTCCATCCTCTCTCATTTCCTAGGCTCTGCAGGCCCTCCAGCGGCAGCCCAACGCAGCACAGTATTTCCACCAGTTCATGCTCCAGCAGCAACTCAGCAATGCCCAGCTGCATAGCCTGGCTGCTGTCCAGCAGGTGAGAGGTCAGCAGCTGGCTGACCCGAGAGGGAGGGGACAGGCACTACAGTTGGGGAGGGCAGGCTTTTGGGACATACTGCATCCTATACCAAGCAGGCTAGGGACAGTCTTCTCTGCCTGGTGTCCTGTAGGAGGAGGGATGGATCTTAGCTTCTGAGGTCACAGTAAGAACTACGGGAAATCCCCTTTTGCAGGTAGAATGGGTGTATTCTAGACCTGCATTAACTAATGTAGCCACTAACCACTTGTAGCTACTGAATGCTTGAAATGTGGACTTTAGAGTTTGAAGACTTAGTATGAAAAAAAGAATGTAAAATATTTCAGTAATTTTAAAATATTAATTACATGTTGAAATGGTAATGTTTTAGTTATATTGGATTAAGTAAATTTTGAAAGTTAACCTCTCCTGTTCCTTTTTACTTTTTTTTTTTTTGAGTTGGAGTCTCACTCTGTCGCCCAGACTAGAGTGCAGTGTCCGCTCCCGGCCACCGCAGCCTTGACCTGCTGGGCTCTGGCGACCCTTCCACTTCAGCCTTCCAAGTAGCTGGAACTATAGGCGCACGCTACCACCCCCGGCTAATTTTTTTGATTTATTGTAGAGATGAGATCTCGTCTGCCCAGGCGGGTCTCAAACCCTTGGGCTCAGGCAATCCACTCACCTCAGCCTCCCAAAGGTGCGGGATTACAGGCTGAGCCACCGAGCCCGGCTTCTTTGTACTTTTTAAAGATTTGCATAAGACAGTTAATTATTTGTGTGGCTCACATTGTATTTGTATTGGATAGCTCTGGGCTAGATGTATTCACTCATGATGTGAACTGCCGAAATGTTCTTCTTTCACCTAAAAGAAAGTGGGAGCAGGGCAGGTTGCCTGTCTGCCCGAGGAGGGTTATGTGGGGGAGGTTACTGGGTCAGCAGATGCGGTAATGGGGGAGGCTTCTGGGTTAGTGAATATACTTTTTCTTAGCTTAGAGTAGAATCTCTCTGTTCATAACGTGAAGTCTCTAAATTGTTTGTGTCTATGATTTATTACTGAAAGACTGAGAGCTTTTCCCTTGTCTGTCTCTGTTTTTCCCCTCCCCTTTAACAGGCCACAATTGCTGCCAGTCGGCAGGCCAGCTCCCCAAACACCAGCACTGCACAGCAGCAGACCACCACCACTCAGGCCTCAGTGAGTACTGCCCTCTCCACTGAGAGGCTTTTCTGCCTGGCGTTGTCCCTGGCTTGAACTGCTCTGTGCCACTCATCTGAGAGTGTTGATTGAGCCGTTAATGGATCGTTACTGCTTTTAGGTATGTAGGGACTAAGCACAAGAGAAGGCAACTACCATGAGTCTACACAGGAGTCTTTAAGAGCAAGTCTAGGAAAGGAGGGAGAAAATCCTGGTGAAAGCAGGAGATCACAAAAGAAGGACTAAGCTCTGGACCCTTCAGTGGGAGTAAAATCTGTTCCATTTCACTCTTTTGCCTTCTCAACTGTTAACACTAGTGGTTAGAGACTGTTGTCTTTTTTATTTTCTCTCACCTTGATAAAACCCTAGAGTAGCCAGGATGACAGTTTTGGATAGGAAGCTATTATTCATTTTCCCCTGACTCCAGTAACGTGAGATTGTCTGTTCTTGACTGTGGCACCCTGAATTTGTCAGTCGTGTACATTTCCTTTTGCCTCTCCCACATCCTTAGTCCTGGTTCTTTCTGTACCATACAGATAAATCTGGCCACCACGTCGGCCGCCCAACTCATCAGCCGATCCCAGAGTGTGAGCTCTCCTAGTGCCACCACCTTGACCCAGTCTGTGCTACTGGGGAACACCACCTCCCCACCCCTCAACCAGTCCCAGGCCCAGATGTATCTACGGGTAAGCCACAGATGCAGACACCATTGCCCCAGGGGCATAATTTTCTGTTTCTGGCAAGGATTTGAGTGAAAACCATTTTCTTTAGCCATGGTTACCTAGACGTTTTGAGACAAGTTGATCTATGTCCCATATCCTAGAAGTGGTGCTTAGTATTCATATGTAGCCTGCAGATTACGTTGGCCTAAGCTGGAAAATGTCGGCCTTGACATTTGACTAAATTAGTTGCTAGTGTTAAACCTTTGGCTCACTTTTGCAAATTCTAAGTGTCATCTCTCAGCCTGCCTTACCATATTTAAGCACTTGTTCTAAACTCCTGATTTCCTCAATGTCTTTGATGTTTGATTCTTCATTGTCAATCCATAGTTTTCTGTACATTCTGGGTTTTCTTCTGGATGGTTCATCGCATTTGGAGCATAAGAGGCTCCTGGGTTGGTGTGGAGAGGGGCGGGGCGTAGCTGTTTAATATCTTCTGTTTATTTTCTCTTGTGGTCCTTCCCTTCCATTTCTTCTGTCTCTTCTTTTCCTCTTGTCCTCTTTGCTGTTCCTCTTCCTCTCCTTGCCAGCCACAGCTGGGGAACCTGTTGCAGGTAAACCGAACGCTGGGCCGGAATGTGCCTCTAGCCTCCCAACTCATCCTGATGCCTAATGGGGCAGTGGCTGCAGTCCAGCAGGAAGTACCATCTGCTCAGTCTCCTGGAATTCATTCAGATGCAGACCAGGTCAGTGGCAAGCACTTGCCCTGTGCTGGGCACTTGGGAGGATGGAGGGAATGACCATGGACAGGGCTCACCTTTCTGTTCCATTACCACTTTTGAGAATTCCTATTGTTTGTGTGTTTTGTTCCCTCAGTTGCTACCGAATGTGAATGTCTTACAGCTTTGGGTTAGAAAGGCAAGATGTGCCTGAAAATAGTCCTATTTATCTGGAGAGTCTTATTCTCAATACAGGCTAAATTTTTTAACCTGTATCCTTCTAGTCCTCTGTGGCTGAGTTTTAATCAGTCTTCTTTCTCATAGTACTGTCTTCTGAAGATAAGGTATGGTTGAGGGAATTCTTTTGTTAGTTAGATGTGAGTGAGTTGCTAGAGAAATGTTTGGTTCCTTTTGCTCATGAGTTACTTAGTTGTCAACTTTGTCTCCTGTTCCGGTTCACTGTTTTTCCCAGTAAAGGTCTTCCTCAGTGTTATTTCCCATGACTTATTCTCAAATGCATATATTTTTGAGTCTGAATTTTTAGCTTCTTATGGATGGGATACAACCTGATATGTGTAACTGCTTGAACAGTGCCTGGACATCGTGAGTGTTTAAGTGTTAACTGTTATTAATGTAGCAAACATTCATTCCTTAGCCTTGGATGCCCAAGAAAGTCATGATCTCTGCCTGTATGGAGATCATAGACCATTCAAACGCCAGAGATTAAACACTAAAAGATTTCATCCTTTTAGTTTGTCAGTTAGCAAGTAAACATTGAGCTCTTCTGTTGATATGCTCAGCTATGTACCACTGGCCTTCCGTATCTATGGGTCCTGCAGAACCATGGGTTCTGTGTCCATGGATTCAACCAATCACAGATCGAAAATATTCAGGGAAAAAAAACAGTAAAAAATAATACAATAATAAAAATACAAATAAAAATACAGTGTAACTAATTCCATAGCATTTATATTAGGTATTATAAGTAACCTAGAGATGAATTAAAGTATATGAGGGGATGTGCTATATGCACAGGTTATATGCAACTACTACTCCATTTTATAAAAGGGACTTGAGCATCTGTGGGTTTTGGTGTCCACAGGGGTTGTGGAACCGACCCCCTGCAGACATCAAGAAACAAATTTACGAGACATTTTGTAGGATTAAAAAAGAAATTTGAGTCAAAGAGCTTAGAGAACAAAAGTATTAAACTAAATGGCACAAACTTATTTTTTTTTTCTTTGAGATGTTGTCTCACTCTGTTGTCCAGGCTGGAGTGCAATGGTACGCTCATGGCCACTGCAGCTTCAACCTGCTGGGCTCAGGCGATCTTTCTGCTTCAGCCTTCCAAGTAGCTGGAACTACAGGTGTGCACTACCATGCCCAGATAATTTTTTGATTTATTGTAGAGACAAGGTCGCGCCATGTTGCCCAGGCTGGTCTCGAACCCATGGGTTTGGGCAAACCTCTTGCCTCTGCCTCCCAAAGTGCTGGAATTACAGATGTCAGCCACCACACCTGGCCTAAATGGCACTAACTTTGACACATGAGTTTGGAGGAGTTCGCTGTTTTACTTTGCAGTGAACTGGTATACTTAAGCAGAATCGTATTTTTTTTTTTGAGTTGGAGTCTCACTGTGTTGCCCAGACTGGAGTGTAGTGGCCCCTCCCGGCCACCGCAGTCTCGACCTGCTGGGCTCCGGCGATCCTTCTGCCTCAGCCTTCC